CCGCCTGCCGGGGGGCGGGCGAGCGGGAGCCCGCAGCGCTCCCTGGCGGTCGTCCTGGGCCCGGCCGCAGGGCGCTCGCCGCGCAGGCTGCCCCAGGCTGCCCCAGGCCGCAGTGCCCTCCGCCCCACGCCGGCGGCCGAAGCGGCCCCTGCATCCCCGACCTCGCTCGCTGACTCCCAAACTCCCCGGCCGGCCGCTCTGTGGTCGCCGCTCCCGTCTGGCGGCCAGAGCGATCCCCCACAAGACCCCAGCAGAAACCCGGGCTTTGGTCCCGCTGTGCCTCCCAACCCGAGGACAATACGACTGGGCAGATCTCACCGAGCCCACAGTGCCCTCGCCCGAGCTAACTCCTCCCGCCAGCGATTCCACACCGCAAAATCCCCCACAGACTAGGAGAACCTGGGGTGGAGATCGGGGTATTATACTCGTGTATGGCAATAGCCCCAGAGAGGAGGGAAGTATCTTCACTGGCAGAGACATGAGTTGGGCAGAAAGAAAATAGAAAAAGCGCCCAAACTGCAGAGAGAAATCCCAAGGATTCTACTGCTGCAGAAAACACGGAGAGACTAGACAGAGGGCAGCTGGAGAAGGCCTCCAAGGCCAACAGAAGGGGCACTTTTCAACTCCCCATTTACTCCATTGCCAGGTTAACGCGGGAAGGTGACTACGCTTCAAAAGACTCAAGGGTTTCTCCCTAGAAAAGGGTAGGAGTACTCCACCTTCTCCAATGGAGAGGACAGAGACCAACGAATCGGGGAAGAACTGAGTGGAGGTCATCCCAGCCCAGAAAGAAGAAAAGGGGGAAGAAGAAAAGTGGAGACTGGAAAACTGGTACAATTTACAAGTGATTCAGGGTCTTGTTTAGAGCTCAGCAACTCAATATGTGAAGAGAACATTCAGGAAGATGTGTAGCATGTTGGCCCCCTTTCAAGGTCTTATACATAAAAGTCTTCCCTTGCTCTCAATATGCTTGACTCTTGTTGGAAAGTTACTCGAGACACTGGTAACAGTGCTTTTTGCTGGACAGAAACACCGGGGAACAGGAAATAAGGAATGAGAGGGAAATGTACCTACCATTATATACCTTTCAGAAATTTTTATATGTTTTATCATATTGAAAATAAAATTTTAAATATTGCTGAAAACTTACCTCTACCAGGAAGAATTCCCTGGTTAACAGGTTCTTTCCTTTTTGTTAGGTCCTAACACTTACTTAGTTTACACTGCCACAATCGGTTTGGCTGGTCCATTTGTTTCTCATTTTCTATTTTTATGACATACCGGTGTACTACATTTCAGAACTGGTTTTAAACTCCTTATTAGCCAAAGTCATAGTCTTCTCTAACGAAGAACTGTACATCCTTTTTAAATTATTATTTTTAAAAGGATTTTGATTGTAACACCAAGGTCAAGGGTTCAGATTCCTGTACCAGTCAGCCACCCCCCAAAAAAGAAAAAAGGATTTTGAGCTTTCTGAAGGCAAAGGTATTCATTAAATTGTTCCTTTTAGCTCTGGCGGATTAGCACATAGGTACAGGCCCCTAATGTTTGATGATGATGAGGCTGAAGAATTAGAAACTAAGGGTAGCAAGGTATTAGATGGATGTGGGTTCTGGGACATGTTGACTTGGCTATTGGGTATGATGGACCTTCCAGGAAGGGCTAAGCTAGGATATGACCCAGAGGATGGGGAGGAGTTGAAAACATGGTCTCTATTGCCCAAAATAGCTCTTGGTAACCTGAGGAATTGGAGTCAGGGGTTGAGCTGGGGTCACGTGCCTGGGTCTGGCTCAGGGGTGGAGGTGAACAAGGGAGGTTGCCAGCCGGTTCTATGGGCAGCTGGAAGGAGGAGGAAGGGCTAGAAGAGTTATTTTTAATATTATTCAGAGCACAGAAAGAGGGGGAAAAAAGGGGATATGATGTAGGTAACACTGATACAAGGCTCAGAGAGACACACAGGGTGGGGCAGAAGAAGGCTGAAACTGGTGGCAAAGCCCTCATATGTAGGCAGTCCTGAATTTGACTACTGAATTCATGTTTGGATAACTCTAGGCAGATGCTTACCTGTCTTTAAGCCTCTATTTTCTTTCTTCTAACAAATGTGAGGATTCACCATGCACGCAGCCCTGTACTAACTAGTCAGGAGGTAGAAACTTAGAAGTAGAAGTAATGGTGTCTCTTTTTGAGGCACCTATGACTTAGTAGAAGAACCCACATATATACATGAAATAAGTAGGGAATATAGGATACATGCTAGTTTACATGGCATTACGTGTTCAGAGTAATGTTAAGAGATGGATTCAGTCAAGAGGGACTTCCTGGGGGAGGTGTGTTTTGAGTTAGCACTTGAAGGAATTAATTGATGTACAATGGCAGGGACATGGCGGTAAATTTGTTGTTTCACATAAAGGAAATGACCTAGGAAAGTTTTAAATGGCAGTAATTAGCTAATCTAATTAGTAGGGGGACAGCAAGCAAATTGGCTTGGCAGGGCTATTGGACCTTGGGGATTCTCCAGCAGTTAACTTGCTTAAGGCAGAGTGTTAATGAGGTCACAGTTCAGTCATGTATCTCAATTAATTTCTGTCTTTTACCCAACCAGATCTCTACTCCTCATTCTAAGCAGCTGTCTCACGTGTGTAAGCCCTTAGTCAGAGGGGGTGGGTCAGGACAAGAGAGTAGAGTTGGAGAGTAAATCTGTCCTTCCAGGTCATATGCTCATCTGAGGGTGGCTCCAGATTATCATCTTTGAACTGGAAGGAGATCCTGTACCATGGTAGTAGGGAGGGAGAGTGGGATTTGTGGACGTAACAGGCCCTCCTTGGAATGCTGAAGGGAAAAGAAGAAATGTTAGGAGAGAAAAAGAAGTGAGATCATTCGCCAACTTGGTATTTCATGCCCCCTAGTAGGTGGAAGAGGATAAAAGGAAAGGTGACAAAACATACTCCTTTGGTCAATAATTATTTATTAAACTAGTAGTACTAAGTGCTATGGAGGCAGAACAGTTTTTACAAAATGGGTTTGCTGATAACCTAGACCTGGGTTCCATCTCTACCACTTGTGTGAAGGGGTTTCTGCATATTTAAGGATAAAAATACCTTCCTAACAAAATGTTAGATGTAAATCAGACAGAGTTCAAGGGATGGCTCCTGCTCATTTGAAATCCAGATAAGATGGGCTCAAACTTTAAAACAATCCATACCTAGTGGAAGTCCCTAAATGAATGCCAATCTCAAGGAGTAGGGGGAGTGAGAGTATTTACATCGGCTTCCAGGCCCATTTCTAAGCAAGATATCTCTCTTCCACACCAGTTAGGCCCTCATTGCAACATAGCCTTTATTTACTTTATCCCCTGCACCAACAACCACCATATACAACACTTCTCAGGCAAAGCTTTCCTGACTGTGGAGAGCTTGACCAAAGATTTAAAAGAAAGCAGAGGAAGGAGTTGCATTGTATAGCATAAACATTTTTAAATTCGACAGCAGGCATTGCCGTTCTCAAAATGTATATCCTCCACTGCACCATGGGAGAATTTCAATTGCTCTTGCAATTGAAAGATCTAGTCTCTTTCTTTCTTTTTTTTCTCCTTTTTGTCTTTTTTTGTGTCCAGCAACGGATCGCAACCCTCAGTGTCGCGCCCGGACCGGACCGGACCGGCAAACGGATCGCAACCCTCAGTGTCGCGCCCGGACCGGACCGGACCGGCAAACGGATCGCAACCCTCAGTGTCGCGCCCGGACCGGACCGGACCGGCAAACGGATCGCAACCCTCAGTGTCGCGCCCGGACCGGACCGGACCGGCAAACGGATCGCAACCCTCAGTGTCGCGCCCGGACCGGACCGGACCGGCAACGGGATCGCAACCCTCGGTGCTGCGCCCACACCTCGCAGGGCCGGCCCCGAACTAGTCTCTTTCTAATTGCTGGTTTCGTTCGTCTTCTCCTTTTTTTTTTTCCTCCCCACGTTTATCAAGAGCAATTTATTTCTCCTTGAATCATAAAAAGTAGTACAATGATATTTCATTGCTTGGATTTCTGTCCATAAGATCTCATCCTTCATCAAGTGCACACTTTTCCAGACAAAGATAGTTCTCTCCCCTAAAAGTAACACTGTTTCTTCCTCCTCGCCCCCACTTCTTTCTATAAATATTAAAAGAGAAAACTATGTTAAGTCTTAGCCCAGGGCTTGGAATGTTAATTTCCTTTCCCAAAGACGTAAAGCACAGCACTAGGCACTGTGGAGGCTACTGAGATGAACAGAGCTTCTAACTGTAAACAAGGCAGAATATGATAAAGGCTCTAAGAGAAACGCTCCGAGGATCCACAGATATCTGCTATTGACACGCTCACGAAGTCGCCTCTGTGCCTACGTATCAGGTCCTGTGAACACAGACTTGCTAAGTAGTTGCTGCCTGGTGACTTCCATTCTCCGAGCCACCTCTGCAGTTTCTCAAACGCACACCCTAGCGCCCATTCTCGACAGAGACGTGAAACTACATCTCCCGACAGGCAGCGTCGTCCGCTTCCTTCCTCCCTCTCCCAGTCCGAGCCATGGCAACGGAGTGACGTGAGGTAGCGGGAGCTGTCGGAGCAGCGGTCGCGACTTTAGTTCTAGCCTACCCGACCGTCCAGGCGGGAGCAGGGCGAGAGGAGTCGCAACCCTGTATCGCTGCTGATCTCGGGGGCCTGAATCCGCCAGGCGGCCTCTTGCTGCAGCTCCTCCCTGGAGCTAGGAGGACGCAGCCGGTATCAGAGCCGAGAGGGCCAGGGAGGGTCGCGCGCATGGCCTCCGCGGGCGCGCGGCGGCTCCC